TACAATTCAAAAGACGAAACTTTTTATGAATTGAAATTTGCCTTTTAACGATATGCTGAATTGTTTTGATTTTAAAAAGTTTATAACAGCCAACAAATATTTAGTTTTATAATATTCAACTTCGATGTCAACGATAATGGGCTTGTCGATTAAGAGTTTTACGAGAATTAACTAAATTAAATGTGCTGCATAAGATTTATTATTATTATTATTATTTCAAACGTCAGAATAAAGTTTGATAGTGAATGTTTCAATTTTGAACATGCCGCTGTGGTTAATAAATAAGTTTTTAAACGTCTAACAGATTTTAGTTATTCTAACTCACCACACGACATTTCCAGTTTAAGCTTATCTTTCTTTGGATCGTAGTCTCGATTGAACAGTAGGGTCGCAGTAAATGACAAGCCACGCCGAAGTATGAGAACAGGCTTAGGACCCTCTACAAGTTCGTACATTTGGGTGTTGTGTTTTTGAGCATTATTTCGTGGAAGGAAATCCACGCTCTCTACTTTTAGAGCCGAAGATCCAGCTTCACCTGTAGAAAGCAATAATATAATAATAAGAATTAGTGCCTGGAATGACGTAAATACAATTTTCGTAAAAAAGTAAACTTGAGTAATGAAGTTATCTTCTCTGTCTGTCTTCACCTTATCACGACTCTTTTTTTCTTATTTTCAAAGTGAGATTTCCTTAATGAGATTGGGCTTATAGTTATATGTGGCATTGCAACTATATATGTTAAAACTAATGAGGTTAATTGAACAAATGTTCACATAAAATATTTCTCTAATAAAAAATGATTACATGGCTGAAACTTTATAAATTTAAAAGTAAAGTCTGCCAGAGAATGGTGGATGTATTACATTAAAAAATGGACTATCTTTGCTGTTTCCACCACAAGAATAGAACCCCAGTTTTTAACTTTACAAGACCCTTGTTTTATCGACGTATTACACTATTTATATTTAAATAAACATTTATTGATGTGCGCAGTTAGATAGAAGAGTGTTCTTAACGAACACGAGAATGTACAATTTTCATACCGAGGATCTTTAAAGAATTTGAGTCGCCCAGACCGAGGAATCACAAAACGATTTCACTAGTCCAGGGATAGCCACCAGTAACAGTTTGTTCATAAGGAGAATTCCTTTCTAATCGAGTTCCGGTTTTATACCAGGAAATCAGCAGGAGAAGACTTTAAAGGAGGAAACTGTGAAATATCAGGATGTTTGCAAAACTAAATAAATGTTGAAGACATTGGATATTGTTAACTATACATATATAAATATAAGAAAGTACACGGAAATCCAGTTACGCATCAAAACTTTGCTATATAATTGGGAACTGAAAGCTGGTGAATAAACTTAAATCTTTGAAAAAACTTAGCAAAAATGCCTCTTGAAAGAGACCTGATCAACCATTTGTTGATTTAATCATGCGCTAAACCACTCTCTCTCCCTCCCTTAAAAAACAAAAGAAGATGCTTGAAAATAAAATCAAAAGGATGTTCATTATTGGACGAAGATATTGATCTTCTGGGAAGAAGAAACTGATGATAAATATTTATCTTGTAGTTTTCGAAAATCAACTCTGTTTTATAAATTACTTCGAATCTAAAAAAAAAGAGAATGTTTATTGACTCACTATCAAAATATGGTATCGTTCATAAAGTGTTAAATAACTCTACACCAAAAAGCTAATAATTATGATACTTTTCATGCACCGTTCATGAAGATATATGAGAGGTAAGAAAAAGGACTGCATATCTGTGAAAATATATATATTCATGTACCAATAAATCTATTTCTCACATAAGAAAGAAACAAAATCTTCAAATTTTCCGGGATTATTTTCACGTTGAAAGATTGTTCATTACGTGTTTTCAGATAGGGTTAAACATACTGAACGTGAAGATAGACTAGTTTCATTCTGTATCAGTTATGATTTAATTCATTGTTAACCTGCTAGATGTTTAAAATTACTAGAGATGAAAACAAGTCTATAATTGTTTTGTTCTTCAGGTGGGAGTTAAAAGAAGTTAACTACTTTCTACCCTTTCGGATATAAACCAACTAAAATTATCATTACAGCTTGTAGGCTCTAGTAGGAGTTGATTAAAGTTAATACATTTTATTCATATATTATCTATGTATGTATATATAGTAGGTATTATTCTAGCTCAAAGCTACACAATGGGTTATCTACGCGCTATTCACCGCAGCGGAGAAACGAACCCCGGGTTTCAGGATTAGAAGCCTCTAAGCTAACCACTCACCCACAGTATGATTTTATTTAGGGTGATCTAAATAATGCAGCGAAGACTTGTAGCAACTCGGCTACGCAGAGCCACTACAGTTTTTCCTCAAGTAACATTAACTGTACGAACTAGAAAGAAAATGTAATTTAGAATATAATAAATCGAGAGTGTGAACTACATACCGTTCTCGGTGTGGTTCAACTCTCTTCTTTTCTCGTACTCTTCTAACATCTTTCTTAGAAGGTCTCGCAGATAACCGTTATAATCATCCAGGTCACGGGCATTATCGCTGGAGACTGTGTTGTTGGACACGTCCGACAATGGAGGCTAACTATAAAGTTCTTCATAAGTTATAATTTATCTTCGTTTAATATAAAGAGTTTTTAAAGCTAATTCCAACAGCTACTTTAGTTATATACGAAGTTGACATTAATTAGTAAAGTATATCGTAGTGAGAAAAATACTTGGCTTGTGTTCAGAAATCTTGACTCGGAAGATGTACAGTTTTGAAAGACTCTCGTAACTGATTCTTACCATTACATGATGTATTGAGAAACTGGTATTTCCAAAGCTGTTTTCTCAATTATGTATATAAAAGAGATCACTAGCTCACTTGCTCTAAAATATCACGAAAGTTATCATATTAAATTTGTTAACTTATTAATTGGAAATTGATTATCAGAAAGAGGGCGTCTGTACTAGGCTTTTCTGTAGCTTTATCTGATTTAGTGACGTACACAGGAATTACAAAGTACGTGTTTGTTTGTTGAAAGTGGACATTCCATTCCCCGACGAAAACAACAATATGACGTTTTAGTGTCAGATTTTCTAATTGGGCAACGTAATATATGACGTCACATTCCTGCCCATCTGTTTTCTGTGAATTTGTTACTTTTAAGTCACACGTTATCATAATCTATGTACTTTTAGAGACACGTAATGTTTCTTCTGTTTCAGTGAGTTTCAGTTACAAGACTGTAGTGATTATACAAGCATAAAATAATCAGAGTAATTTTTATTGTAAGTTGGCACAAGTATTACGTGCTTTTACATACAAGTGGTTTAAATAATTTTTAAGATTGACACGTGCTTAAATGGTTTTTCTTTTTCTATGCTTTCTTAGTAAGCACTTTGCTTGTGTACAGTTATAGATACAATAACATTTTCATCAATCTGCTACAAAGAAAATATAACAAACCATTGTTTGACATCAATAACATCCTACGTTGTCTACCAGTAAAGAATGAGTTAATAGTAACGTCATCGAGACTGTATGACGTCTTGTACTTTGGCTAACCCATATTTTTCAAAGTCATACGAATGGCTAACACATCTAGTGAATTAGTTTAAATCTATCAGAATTGTGGTTCTGTATTTTCAAAACAAAGTATTTACCTTGAGCAACTGGAATCACGTTCAGCCCATCACGAGTTTAACTTGTTTAAGACTTGTAATCATGTTAGAATATTTTAGTTTTCATCATTCAAATCATAAACAAAAGATGAATTATAAAGGTTTCGTGATTTAAAAAGTTGCTTTAAAAAAGTGATCAGTGAAAGAGTTTTTTCGGTCTCTATTCATTCAAAATAACAATATAAATAAAGTACACACCCGATTATAAATAAATATACAGTTACAAAAAAAATAGCATGATGCAAATTTTAGTTATTTTTACTTGGATTTGAATTGGTTTATAAACGTAGCCTAGCGAAGCTTGGACCAGTCAAGGTGTCTTGCTTTATTCGGATTAAAGCAAGACACAACAACCGAAGAAACACAAATTAAGTCTTGCGGGAAGCTTGCCTTCAAAAAGACAGAACAATGTACTAATGTAACAATAACTAATTTTCCATAAATTACAGGACTAGCGATCATAACTTACAAAATATCTTTATACAAAATTAATGAAATTCGCAAACAGTAACTTCACTATGACAGGGGGCATAGCCCGGTGGTTAGGACGCTCGACACGAAATTCTTCAGGTCGTGAGTTCGAAACTCTTCACCAAACATGCTCGCCCTTTCAGCCGTTGGGGCATAAAATGTGACTGTCAATCCCACTATTCGTTGGTAAAAAAGTAACCCAAAAATATGGCGGTGGATGGTGTTGACTAGCTCTCTGTCACTTCAAAGTTAGGGACGTCTAGCGCAGGTAACCGTAGAGTATCTTTGCGCAAAATTCAACAAACAAACCACCATTTTTTATAGATTTGTAAACCATTTTACACCCGAGTTTAAACCATAAAAAGCACCCCTTTTCCGTGAAATTTAAACGCGCATGCGACTCTTTTTTTTTTTTTCTTATACCACCTCAGTGAGTGAATGGCCCGGGCGTAACATTAAATTGACCTTCAAATAGTGTATTGTTCTTAATGGTTAACAAATATTATTAATCCAGTAATAACAGTTATCATTACTTCATTCTCAGTTACATTCTTGTCTCAGTAGGTAATAACTGAACAAAATAATCACTTAAAATTATCTCTCTCATTACAACATCACCTCCTTAGTGTAGTGTTGGAGTGTAGTTAGGACTGCATATTCTCAAAACAAATGTATTTTACTTAAGAGGACTTTACTTAAAAATTAACTGTCTTTTAATGTATTTTTACATCAAACGTTACAATCAATATTCAAAAAAAATATTTTAAACTCACATTCACTTGGGTGGAGCGATGCAGTTAATATCCTGTTTGTTCTAAACCACAAAGCTACACAATGGGATATCTGTGCTCTGCCTACCGCGGGCATCGAAACCATAATTTTAGTGTTATAAGCCCGCTGACTTGCAGTTGAGCCACCAGAGGGCCAGTAAATAGCAAACATATTAGGTAATTATAGTTCAGCTATACATCAGGAATTACAGACAAAAAAAAACGTTTATACAGAATCCTTACTCAAAGTTGTAGCGTTTAATTTAACAAAGTCTTCATTGACGTGACATCATCTGGTAACACACGTCACAGTATTCTAATAACTTGTTGGCATATGAAAATATCATTACTATTCCTAATAAATTTCACGTCATTACGCTCTGTTTTCAGAATAATGTGGCTGAGAGTTGCGTCGCTTTCTGTTTACAAAGCAACCCAAAGCTTCCCCTGCAGCTCTGGAATTGACCAATTTACAGACGCCGAGAGGGGTCCTAGCGACTACAGTAAAAACAACGTAGTGGGTCAAACTGTCACTGCAGTGTTACAAGTTAGGGCCTCATAATAGAGGGAACTCTTAGCCGTCTCTAAAAATGAAAAAAAAAGAAAAAAAAACTGACTCCATTTCAATTTTTTTAATCACGCGGGGGCCTCTTAAACTTGACAAAGATTAGGGCCTCAGAATGTCATAATCCGGCATTGTGTTCTGCAACAAGATTCGGCCTGATCAAGGCTTGTCTATACGTGGTGCTGAGACAAAATCAGTGCGGAATTTTTATTAATTTGCAATCAACGTGAAAATTTCCCTAATATATCTTATAACACGAAACAAATAGTATTAATAATTTTTATTTTAAGAAATTGTTTACGAATAGAACCTTAGTGTTAAAATGGGTTGATGGTACTGTTGCATTTCAAAGCAAAAGTAAAATAGTTGGTTAGAACATGACGTAGCACAAGTTTCTGGAACATAAAACTATACATATTTTGTGCATTCATAAAATTAGGAGAGATATAGAAAGGAATTTTCAAATTACAGAAAACACAAAAATATGTTCAGCACATATCAACCCTAATGATTTTATAATACCAATACACGATATTTGATTGGTCAATATATAAACACGAGGAAAGCAGTTTATAACTAAGGCTTCATTGTATATTTGAAATCTTTATTATCAAAGTTTGCAAGGATGATTTTCAACAAGTAGTGAAATAATTATACTTGTCATAAGACATTAATATTAGGAAGTTATCCTAATTATTACTATTAGATATTATTACTGATGTTCTATGACAGGTATAACTAATTATAATTCTATTTTTTCTAGAATTGTTATCCGTCCCCCGGTGGGACAGCGGTACGTCTTCGGACTTACAATGCTAAAATCAGGGGTACGATTCTCTTTTAGTTAACAGTACACACAAAGAAACCACGTGATAGTTTCAGTTGTTAAAACCTGACTTTCTATTTCAGTTGCCGTGCGGAAAGTCTTGGATTCGAATCCAAGCCGAGAAATTAAAATAAACTTGAAAGTGTCACAATAAATGTGTGGAACCTTGTATTTAATAAGAAAGATTGTGATAGTTGGAGTTAGATATTAAAAAGGGCTTTACTAGTAATTATTTTGAAATATACTTGAAATTATTACACACATTTATTGTTACCACGTGCTTTAAACATTGTTATATACTCAAAAACATCATGGTTAACAAATATTGTGGGGCTTAGTGGTTAGGGCACTCCACTCGCAATGTAGGAGCTTTTTATCAAATCTACAGTTTGGTTAAATTTTCTCTATGTATTAATATATGTATGCATTGGAAGACATTTAACTTTATAAACAATACGTTTTGATGGAATACATTCGGTCAATCTTCATGTAAATGTTGGTTCGTAAAGAAACGTTTATAGATGAAGACAACATAGGCAGATTCTGATAATGTGTATTCCAAAGCACACGCGGCCAATAGGGGAGCTAATTAAGATCACAGTAATAAGAAATTTTGCATAGACTAAGATGAGTGTAAACAAGAAACAAATCGGAATTAGGATTTTCAATCTAAGTGACACCTTATGCAAACGTGGGCTATACAGCCAAGTTAAAGACCCTAGAGTTCATGTAGATGCATTCTTAATTTTGTGCTATTTACCAGAGAGAGGGAGGGAAGCCAAACTACAGTACCTACCTCCACAAAGACTTTGTCTTTCTTTGTGAACCGAACAACGTAATTGACTGTAACTTTTATAATGAAACAACAACTGAACGTGTGGAGTACGTTCAGTGGCATCAAGTCTCGAAGATTGGATCGTTGCTAACTGCTGATTAAAAACCAGGGCAACCAATCAGCAACATCCGTCACTTACATGGCTTCTCTTAAGCGAATAGTGCGATAAACGGAAACTTTTATAACGTGCCCACAACTGAGAGTGTAAGCTGTGTTCAGAGGCATTTTGTGGGTTCGAACCTTAGGCATTCGGATTTGCAGTCTGACACGCTAAACATGAGGACATACTCGGCCCAGGATATAGACAATTATAATTTATTCAATAGATATTATAATGTATCCAGTCAATATATAATACAGTAATCAATTTACAACGATACTTTATCTCAAGTTATTTTTTATCTTGCTACATAGCTTTAACTTTCCCCCTCCTCGCTCCTGTACAAA